ACGGTCCCGCACGATTCCTCCCCGTCATGGACCCTCCTCCGGCTCCCGGTGTGTTCTCCTGAGTCGCTTGAGGACAATTGGCCTTCATATGGCCCGCATTCCCACACTTGAAACACCTTGGTGGTTCATTACACTTCCCAAAATGCTGTTTTGAGCAATTGGGACATCTAGGTGCTCCCGAGTTCTGTGGCCTAGGTCCGTGCCACCTCCCGTCCCTATTCTTTTTCGCCGGTGGAGCCGGCGCCTTGAATGAGCCCCCACCACCACCATGGTTGTTCTTTCGGGAATGATCGGGCGGCCCCGAACTGTTCCACTTCCTCTTCTTCGCCTCCTCGGCGTCCCTTGCTTTCCTCTCATTCCACTGGGCCTCCCCAAGCATGCCCTGCTCTACCACCTCACTGAAAGTCATGAGGCGGGAGTATGTAGCACGATCTCGGATGTCTAAGAGTAAGGCATCCCAGAAGTGCTCAGTCATGCGGTCCTCATCGATTGCATACTCCGGTAAGAACCTAGCCAAGGTTCTAAACTCTTGCTCCAACTGCTTAACGGTGCCACCTTCCTTCTGCTTGAGGTTGGTATACTCCCTCCTTTTTACATTAACCTCAAAATCGGAGTAGTATTGGGCATAAAACTCCCGCTCAAAATTTTCCCATGAGATATTCCCACGGTACTTCCCTTCTACACCTTCCCACCATGTAGAAGCCATCCCCTCAAGCAACCGTGAAGCAACGGTTAGCTTCACGTCCGGAGTAATTTGCATGTCCCTTGATGCATCCTTCACTTTCTTGATCCAATCGGCGGCAACGGTAATGTCACCGGTGCCATCGAAGGACCTACACCCCAAGGCCCTAGCCTCCTTGAGGTACTTGGAGATTCTCACTATGAAACCTCCCTCGAGCCCACCTTGTGGAGCCTCAGGTGCGGCCCTTGGAGCTCCCCGGCTTCCTTGAGCCGACACACCTTGAGAGCCACGCCTTGCTTGGCGCCTAAGGTCTCTCCTCAGTTTCTCCTTTTGATACCACTCAAGTAATTCGCCCATTTGGGCGAATCGGGCATCACTCTCATCATCATTTTCATCATCAGTGTGGAAATCACCCCCATCGTATGGGGTCTCTTCATGCTCCGTTTCAGGAACATAAGTAGAGTCGTAGTTCTCGGTGCTAGTCTCGTACACCGAACTTACGTGGCCATCACTCACTGTTTGGGCTCGGTGGCCCCCACGTCCTCCACGGCCTCCACGGCCTCCTCTTCCACCCCTGGAGCTTCGAGATGAAGCCCGACTAGCTCCAACAGAAGCTATCGGTGCTTGCCCTCTCGGATTGTTCCTGGTCCGCATGCGTCTACCCTCCATTTCTGAAAAGGAATTTGGACGAGTCGTTAGACTCCAATCAATGTCAATTGACGGAAAACGTTATAGACACGTATTGGCCTAAGTCGCCGCCATACCAATTGTTAAGGGTACCATCTTAACAACTAGAGACCTTGCAACCTCGGTGACAATAGTTCTATAAGCGTCAAAATACAATGCTCATGGTTTTCGATAAAACTCTTTTGTAAAGTCTCATGTGAGAGGTTGATTATATAGTTTAGAAACTGAGATGGCTCTGATACCACTTAATTGTCACGCCCCAGACCGCATCCAAGCGCGTGTACAACTGCCGTATGACTAAGTGACGTCACCCGCAAGTCAACGTGACTTAATCATACAAGGCGTCCATGAACATCTGTTCATACCATGCTCAGTAAGTAAACATACATAACAACGTCACATATTTGGATTGAACGAATCGCGGAAATATTCAATATTCAATCATGGGCCACATATGGCCAAAACGTGGACTCGCAGGCCCAAAACAAATGTACTTATTACAAATTATCCATGAGCATAGTTTGTAGTTTAAAAACGGTAAAGGAAGCACGAACCACGTCTCCCTTTAGATCACTTCACCGAGCAAGGTGAGAATAGCAAGCTTGAGCTTCAACCTGAAATGGTGGGGCCCCCCGAAGGGGTCAGTACAAGTACCGAGCGAGTAGCAGGCTAAATGTAGAATAACTAACGTTTCAAGTATAAGACCCAAACATAGGGTGATACATATACATATAGTTCCTTCCCCCAAGTTATGAAATATATATCATTATATATACACTTGGAAATACCCGACCCGTAGGTCATTGTTTATTTGGGAAATAATATAGCCGGTAACCTTGGTTTAAACCCCAACCCACCCATATACCTATGAGTGTATAGAACTCCTCCTGGTTCAAATCATCTTAACTTGAGGACACCGCCCGGTCCTAAATTACAAATAGTAATCTATGAGTTTTGAGGATACACGCCCGATCCTTGGGTACTCCACCCTATATAACCGAGTTTTGAGGATAACCGCCCGATCCTTGGGTACTCCACCCTATAACCGAGTTTTGAGGATACCGCCCGATCCTTGGGTACTCCACCCTATAACCGAGTTTTGAGGATACCGCCCGATCCTTGGGTACTCCACCCTATAACCGAGTTTTGAGGATACCGCCCGATCCTTGGGTACTCCACCCGACTTATGATCTACCACATATCATCCTAGATAAGGTCTATATCATAATCAATAATCAAGACTAAACCAAGTCTTAAGGCCTAAGCATAATCATCCATGCAATTCATGCATTAAAAATCAACATATAGGCAAAACAGTGCCAAACCGGCGCCGATTTTGACATAACCGGCGCCGGTTATTATTTAATTTAAATAAACCGGCCATGCCGATCCATAACCGGCGCCGGTTTTGCCTATAACCGGCGCCGGTTACCCCCTGGGCAACCAAGTCAACATTTTCGTTGACTCGCCATTTCAAACCCGATTTGCGTCAAACTTAATCCCAACGTGTATTAAGTTATAACCAAGCATTTTATGCCCCTTTTTATCCCTTAAAACATCATATATGTTTTTATAAACATTTTCATATCATACTTCATTTATGATATCAATGGGTCATACATATAAGTCTAATCACTTTGGATAATCACATGTTTAAGCATCTTTTGAACATCATTAGGAACACATATAACATTTACTTAGGTAATCTCATAATTAACCCAAGAGTTATAAGACATTAAGCCGTCCACTCACCTCAAATGAGCGTGATGAAGTTCTACCCTTCTCGGTTGAACTCCGGCCAACTCCGGTGAACTTTGACGAATCTCCGGTGACAACTCCGGCGACTCTTTAAACCTTGTGAAAGCTCTCAAATCACCTTTGACACGTTCCTAACATGGTTTTATCATCACAAAACCCATATCAATACAAATAACCTTTAAAAGGTTATTTTCCGGCTAACCGGTCGTTTTGGCTCCTAAGTCCGTTCTTGGACTTAGAGCTACTTTCGACTCCCTTGTTCCACACTTAAAACCATGTAGAACATCCTTAAGGGTATTTCATATGATATATAAGTCATATGAAATCAAGAGATGGAAGAAAAGTTGTTAAGGAGCTTCTCACCTTTATTCCCAAGGTTTTTCTCTACTTTTGCAACCCTTTTTCTTCTTCCTTGAGCTCCTTGCTTCCTTGAGCTCTCTTGGCTATGGAGATGAAAGTTTGCAGAGCTCTCCTCCTTGATTGGGGGTGGCTTGGACGCACAAAACATAGGGGAAGGGGTGAGGAGACTCCTTTTGTCTCAAATGGGAAATAAGTGAGGGGGGAGGTCCACCTTGGGTCAACTCTCACCCAACCATCACCCTCAGCCCACACACACCTCTCAACCCATGTTATGCAGCTCCCCTTGTCAACCAAGAGCTCTAAAAAACGTGGGGTGGCCCCCACTCATGTGGGAGGTCATCCCATTATGTCCCGAAGTGTACAATCGATCCCGAAAGTTGTATTTCTCGGACTGTTTTAATTATATTTTATTTTATTGAGTCGAATAAAATATAACACTTACTCCCCATCATAATGGGCCTTTAGGATGATTATACATTCCCCAACGCTAATTTGGAAGTCTCCGAAATTCATTTCGGACTGTTATCCGATAAATCGTCCAAAACCGGTAATTGGGCCTTGTTTGACCAATCGGTCAACCCAATGCCTTTCTTATGGCCCAAAGTGAATGTCCACCACCATATAACTATTATCTATACCAAGATGGATAAAATATGCGGTCTCGGGAATATCGGGTGGTCCCCGCTCCCGATGTGGGCCCCACGTGCAATTTACTATTCACGCAAAAGAATTAACAAAAATTTACAACCTCGTAAATTCATTAACCATTTCATAAGGTTCAATACATAATCTACATAAAAGTAAATACACTTGGGGACGGTGTTACAGACGGCGCCAATGTTGAGGTTAGGTCCCGTAGATCCGAAAGCCCAACTCACGCTTTGGATATTTAGGATGTAAGTTTGGGTCTAAAAGGTGTATAATATATAAAACAGTGAATTAAGATTGAACTCAGAAGCTAGCTTGCATTACGTAATTCTGTGATTACACTGAAATTGCCCGAACGATAAGTCGGTATGAGATTATTACAAGAACAAGAAAGATGATTCTATTGCTAAGCTCTCAGTATCAAATTGCTAACACTTTACAATATATTCAATGCAAATATTTATACTAGAGGAGTAGGTGAGATGGACACGTGGCCGGACCCGGTAGACTGTTACCTCTGGCACGAGTGCACCCATGCCTCTACTTGCTACCGCCATGCTTTAGCATTAAATGTAGTTACCACTTGCTGATCCTCGGTCAGGTACCCCGTTCGGAGTGTAGGACCCCTTTGTGGGTGTTTTGATGAGAGTCCCCTGTTAATAAGCTCAAGTGGATAGTAAATACCGAATGCCGTTCGGGATGTCTTGGATCTTTCTGGTTGCGTTGGGCTTCCTGTTTGCCCTGGGCCCTCCTTAAGCTTTGGGCCGGGCGTATTGGGCTTGGGCCCAATACCCCCGACAAGTACATTTTCACAGCTTCATCAATAAGTTAGGCTCCATTTCCTCCATTTTGTAGTATGGTAATCGTAAAATCACACATGCTCGCCCGCAAGGCCGCAAGTGCTCCATTTCCTCCATTTTTAATGGCTTGCGAGATGCGAGTCTTTTGCTGTGAATTGACGAAACGGACCCTGGGGACATTGACTGCAAAACACAGCTGGATATCACTGTCAACGAAAAGCTCATCTTTCCAGGCTTGAAAGCTCCGATGAAGAGGGATGTATGCAACCGGGAAGAAAACGACGTCGTTCTGTCGCTTCCTATATAAACTGTAACGTTCCACAACAGTTACGAGCTGCAGAATCCTCTTCTGTTCGCGGGTCAACTAAACTCCCTCACCTTCCGCCATCTTTGACTGAGTCATCCTCACCCTACCGTTCCGAGTCGACTCAGTAATCCTGCCTCTACTTGCATCACACATACACAGAATTGTGCACGTCGCAAGCTGTTCAGAGACCAACACGTCAAAGTTCACCTCATTTCTGCTTAAAACGCATAGGATCTGAATCAAATCCGTGTTCTTGCTCCACTTCAGCGGTTCTATTCTCCAAAGTTTACGGCTTTGCTAGGGTTTTGAGGCAGTGCTTTAATCAGGGAATTTGAATTTTTGTTTTGCTATACATCACTTGTACGGTTAGTGGTTAGTGCTTGCGAAGATGATGGTATCAAGGGGATTGTTTGGGTGGTCTCCGCCACACATTCAGCCGTTGACTCCTGTCTCGGAAGTTTCGGAGCCGCCGGAGTCCCCGTCGCCTTACATGGACAATGGTGCCGATGTGCTCCCGCCTGAGATGGAGGAGGAGATTGAGGACGAGGGTGAGGAGATTGAGCCGCCCCCTGCTGCTGTTCCGTTCTCGAAGTTGTTTATTTGTGCTGATCGCCTTGATTGGTTTCTCATGGCTGTTGGATCACTTGCAGCGGCTGCCCACGGCACTGCCCTGGTAGTTTACTTGCATTACTTTTCCAAAATTATTCAGTTGCTCAGGCATGGTTCGGATCCCCCTGATAAGATGTTTGACAGATTCACTGAGGTATGTTACAACTAATTATTTGTCATTTCTTGCTATTCCACGTTAAAATTTTACTGTTCATATCTTTCTGTTTCACTCAATAAGTTTTTTAGTAGGATTCAGACATATTGGTTTCATAAAAACTTCTAAGAATTAACAATAGCAACAAAATAGATTTTTGGTTCCACTTTTTCTGATTTTTCCATTAAGAGCAACTATTGGGAACCATATGTTATATGAATATGCATTCCTTGCGAGTCAACAAAGCACAAAGTGCTCGAGGAAGAGGGATGTAGATTAGCAGAATGTCTTTCAAGTAATGCCATTTTCATTCATCATCGGTGTTTCAGAAGGATAAGCTTTTGGTACTCTGATTTGCTATGGAAATGGTACAAGTTAGGTCTTTTAGCACATTATTTGAACATATACTCGCTTTTCTTGGTTTTATTTATTGGAATCTGAGCATCAGACAGCTGGCATTGGCACTCCTTAGCTTAGGATTTGTAAACTTCTTTGGATGTGTTGTCATGCTGAGTACTACGTTATGTATTTGCAGTTAGATTTAGAATAACCTCCAACAACACTGAAAATATAAACTTTTGCTGAATACAAGTGCAATTAAGTTAATCCAATTTTGTTCCCAATTTGGAATAACTCAACATGAAGCATTGCCAAGCTTCCACACCATTTACATTTAGATGAAAATCTCTGCCACTCTATAAGTTGTAGTGCTATAAAAGGGCTCTTTGTTTAAATCCTCAACTGCTCATGATACCTAGGAATGATGATGAATAGGACATGAGTAGTGCAAGTATTTCAACTCATATCCATCTCATGATTTTTTCAAGCAAGTGGACGTAAACAATGATGGCGGTGTTATTTGTAATTCAATCACATTATTCCTTTGTATGAAGGTTATGATAGAAAAGGCATATGACACAGAACCATGTCACTATGATATTTTACATGAATTCCTAGTGTTAACTAATTTTTTCGAGTAGTTGCAAGTTTGCAACTAATTGATATTTGAAGCTGTAAATTTCATATCGCCACATGCAACCTAGATGGGATTAAGGTGGTATTGGCATTCTTAGGAATAATTTAACTTGGCCAGGGAACATTGAGAATTATATTATAACATCATATGTTTTGCTTATTTAATCATTGACAATATGAGGTTCATCGGAAGTCATTTCTAGAATTGTTTGACACTTCTATAATCTTACACTTTTTGTTGTATATGCATATGTTTGAATATTGGATATGAGTATGTGTTTTGGAACTTTTGGATGGTCTAAGTGAAATTATCTATACAACAACAACATCCAAGCCTTATTTCCAAAATATTTTGGGGTTGGCTAACATGAACCGATCCATGATATCGGAGAGAAGAAAGATAAGAAAAGTAAAAAGATAAAGTAAGATAAAATGGATAAGATAAATATAAATATAACTATATAAGTGAAGTTATCCCTAATTGATTTTTTTAGAAGAGAAATATTTAACAATTTTCCTAGTATGGAAAAGTAACTTATAGAAGAGTAATACAAGTACCTCCATGTTTACATCATTTTGGAATTGACTAATGAACATTATGACATAAAACTATAAAAGTAACTACTCTTGCATCATCCTGTGGAACAAGAACATGAAGAGCAAATATAGTCTTTCTTCTTGGCCCATTGTTCATATTTGACGGAGTCATTTATGCACTGTAATTTCTCAATTATGAATGCCTTCGTTTTTTTCTGGTTATGTAATATTTATCTAATTTCTATGTCTACAGCTCACTTTGGCCATTGTTTATATTGCTGCTGGAGTTTTTGTTGCTGGTTGGATTGGTAAGCTGAGTTATAGGTTTTGTGATTCTTACATTAGATTCATTTCCAAGTTCCAACCTAAAGGGCATTTTCAAGTATAAGTGATTATATGCTTCTAACCAGCCTCTTTATGTAGAGGTGTCATGCTGGATTCTTACCGGAGAGCGGCAGACTGCTGTGATAAGATCAAAATATGTTGAAGTTTTACTAAATCAAGACATGAGCTTTTTTGATACCTATGGAAATAATGGAGATATTGTCAGCCAAGTATTGAGTGATGTGCTTCTTATTCAATCAGCTCTTAGTGAAAAAGTATGAGCAGTAAAATCTTGCTCCTGTAATTCACTGGCTTCTAACTTGCTTTCTTATTTTTCTATGACTGCTTTAGCCTTGAACCTTTTTTCTTACACTGTTTCCATTGTTACAGGTGGGGAACTATATCCATAATATGGCTACATTTTTCAGTGGTCTTGTGATTGGATTTGTTAATTGTTGGCAAATTGCCCTCATAACTTTAGCCACGGGTCCATTTATTGTTGCAGCAGGAGGTGTATCAAATATATTCTTACACAGACTTGCAGAAAATATCCAAGATGCATATGCTGAAGCTGCTAGTATTGCAGAACAGGTAATATGTTATAGAAAGTATATATTTGAACAGTTGACTCTCCTTTTAAGTCAAGAATGCGATGATTTATATAATTTGCTCTGAACTCTAAATGTCTATTCCACCTGTTCTCTTTTAACTATCGCTTTAAAGTTTTTTATGGTTATCTATGGCTTTAGGATGTCAATATAGCATTATTAATCAATTTCCACCATTACCCTTCTCCATCAGTGTATGCTACGTAGTACTTTAAAACATTAATAGGGGTGTCCTTACTATATTACTACTTTGACAGTTCTATCTTGATTTTTTAAAGTTTATTTGTTTTTTGAAGTACATGAGCAACCAACTAAAACGACGCTTAACAAGTACGGAGGGAGTAATTAATTAATGATAATAAAGGATATGGATGCTTATTATCGTATTTATTCAGTCACTTTTTTATTTGTATTTTCTGTGTTTCTTTTTAGGCAAAAAAACTTTTAGATATTTGGTGTTAGTGTTTCTGAAACAGCGTTTTAGACCACTTTAGTGTGTGATCATTAATTATAGCTTTACAATTTTACTTGGGTAATGCATGCGCCTAAACTGATTAATGATGCATATAAACTAGAACCAGCATTATCTCAATATCAATTGAACCAGCAGATTATACTTAACTTTTTCTCACTTGAGTTAAAGCTTGAATGTCAACCCACTTCACAATTCACACTTCCCTGACCAACAATGCAACCCAAAAATATCCCCATCTACACACTTAGCTGTATTACCAGACTGAATGTTGTGTCGCCTCCATTTCCAATAATGTCTATGGTGATGAAATATATGATGAGAACAAGAACTAAGAAAGGCCTTTTGCATGAAGAATTTTTAATGTAAAGTTAGCTGAGACCCTAGGAGAGAAAAGAAAGAGAGTATGTCAAAGCCCACCTCACAGCGTCATAGAAAACTAAACAGTAAAATTGATTTCCTTTTTTAAACGAGAAAGAAAATTACTCCATATCCATAGAGCTAAGGCTGAAAAAGTCTTAACTAGGATCAGAAGATAGTCTGAGCCAAGATAAGAATGAGCAGCAGTTGTAGAGGGGATTGGAGAAAGCAATTTTCCGAAGTCAATATAGTTATATACTCAGTAGTTACATCGTTACTCGGGTTAAGGGCCATGTCAGTCTTCTATTGGTAAAATTTTAAACATATTTGTCACATAGTTTTAGAAAAATATAAGAAATATAAGAAATATATCTATATATATATATATCTATATATATATATATATATAAAAGAAAGAAATTATCATAATAGCACGTAAATCATAATCAATCCTAATCATCATCATTATTACCCCAATGCCGCAAAGGCTCCCACTTATTGAGGGGTAAGGGGGGTCAGATATACGCAGCCTTACCTTAGTACTAGAGCACAAAGAGACTGATTGTTCCTGGATAATCAATCCTAATATTTAACTTATATCTATATTAGTTCTCCGTATTCGTAAAAATTCCCAGTAAGTGGTCAAAGAAAAAGAAAAATTGAAGAACTGGAACAGTCGACAAAGAACACACCTAGACATAGGGCTGCCACTTTCGTTAATTATTTTGAAGCTCACCATGTGAACTTAACTTTAATACCTCCAAAACATAGATTTTGTAATACTCCCTCCGTCCCACTAACAATGGGACAAGAGGAGTGACACACACACTAATAAAAAGTGGTTTATGTGGTTAATATTGAATTGATAATGTAAGAATAAAGCAAGAATGATTTAAAGCCACACAAATTTTACCAAATTTGGTATGGGACAATCTTAGTGGGACAAAGTGACAAACCAAAAAGGTATAATGGGACAATCTTAGCGGGACAGAGGGAATAATTTTTTTCCTTTTCTAAAATAAAATCTCTAACTTTAGTTTTCAAATCCCATAGTATCCCAATCTTTAGCTTCAACCTTTCAGATTTGACAAAATATCCCATTTTAGCATGACCAAGTTACTTGGCATGTAAAGTGAGTCACCGAGTTGTGGAAATCGTCAAGTACTCAGTGACTAAGTCCGGATTTTGGAACAGAACGAGCAGTTAAGCTACAAAGCAAGATGTCTTAGAAGCAAGTACTCGGCGATTAGATGATATAACTTCTATAAATGTACAACCACAAGCAATGAAGAACAACTGTGATGCACCACATTGGCATGCAAATTTGAGGTTAACTCCGCAAGTACCTCTTTTATATTTGCCTGTATAGTATGTAGATATGTAGTGTATAGTTTGTGAGAATTTGTGTCATAAGTTGTGCTTTGATTTTGCAGCATGGTTCTTCAAAGTTTGACATGATGGTCTGTATGTTTTATAGTTGATGATCTTGAATGTAAATTTTTTGTATGTGCAGGCAGTCTCTTATATCAGAACATTGTATGCATTCACAAATGAAACATTGGCAAAATATTCATATGCATTGTCTCTTCAAGCTTCACTGAAGTATGGTATATTAATAAGTCTTGTTCAAGGACTTGGGCTGGGATTTACATACGGGCTTGCAATTTGTTCCTGTGCATTACAACTATGGGTTGGAAGGCTCTTGGTCATTAATGGGAAAGCTCATGGTGGTGAAATTGTTACATCTCTATTTGCTATTATGTTAAGTGGCCTGTAAGCAGCTCCTATTCCTTCTCGTCATAGGGGTTTTTATGCATTACTTGATCTGTTTTAATGTATGATGATATTCTCTTACAGTGGGCTAAATCAGGCTGCTACAAACTTCTATTCATTTGAGCAAGGGAGAATTGCTGCCTATAGACTTTTTGAGATGATAAGTCGTTCATCCTCTAGTGTTAATAATGAAGGGCGTACCCTTGGTTCTGTGCAAGGAAATATTGAGTTCCGAAATGTGTACTTTAGCTACCTCTCTCGTCCCGAAATTCCCATATTGAGCGGATTTTACCTCAGTGTACCATCCAAAAAGGCTGTAGCTCTTGTCGGAAGAAATGGGTCTGGAAAAAGTAGCATCATTCCACTTATGGAGCGGTTTTATGATCCTACATTGGGTATTGTTATGATTTTGATTGCTCAATCCAGTTATTCATTTATAATTCCCTCTAAAATATCATTATTTTCTTTTAAGCGGAGATTTTTATTTGTTTCTCATTATATACATTTTCTGCAGGAGAAGTTCTTTTAGATGGGGAAAATATTAAAAATTTAAAGCTGGAGTGGCTCAGAAACCAAATTGGTTTAGTGACCCAGGAGCCTGCATTGTTAAGTTTGAGCATCAGAGATAATATTGCATATGGACGCGATGCTTCATTCGATCAAATTGAGGAAGCTGCAAAAATAGCCCATGCTCATACCTTTATTAGCTCACTTGAGGGAGGATATGCAACTCAGGTACGTCCATAGATTAAAATATTTCTGATTTTGATTGAATTCCCCGTCATTTTTTTTCATTTTCTTTAAATTTTTATGGTATCAATATCTGTACCCATTGATAGTTTTGTAAAATTAAAGTACCAATATTCCCATCAATACTTATAACCTTGGGTATATCTTTTAAGCAAAATACCTATGTCTTTCTTTAGGTTGGCAGAGCTGGTCTAGCATTGACTGAAGAGCAAAAAATAAAGCTTTCTATTGCCAGGGCTGTTCTTTCAAATCCATCTATCCTTCTTCTTGATGAGGTAACTGGTGGACTTGATTTTGAAGCTGAAAGATCTGTTCAGGAAGCTCTAGATCTCCTCATGTTAGGACGATCAACTATCATTATAGCAAGAAGGCTTAGTCTAATCAGGAATGCTGATTACATCGCTGTAATGGAGGAAGGTCAATTGGTTGAAATGGGAACACATGATGAACTCATAACGTTGGATGGTCTCTATGCTGAACTTCTCAAATGTGAAGAAGCTGCAAAGCTTCCACGCAGGTGCACTATATCTGTACTTAATTCCTTATTATACTGATGATAATATTGTGATGCTTGTACACAAACAAACTAATATAGTTCATCAATATTATATCTTATCTGTGTCCCAAAATCTAGGGACCTACTCAGTTGGTCAGGTGCCGTTCTGTTTTTTTACCATTCTTTTTTTGCTCAGTCAGAAATGACATTATTTGATCATCTATCATTCTAATTAAGTTTGTATTACTATTTATTATTCTTAGAATAAATAGAACTTCTGAAGCATTAGAGCTAGTTTAATTGACTAAAGAACACAAACGTTTCACTCTTATTTTCTATTAAGGATTATTATTGTTTATTATTTTACAAAGTATCTGAACTATTTTTATTAAAAAATAATATTCATGGATAAACAAAATAAAAAGTCATTGAAAATAAAAAAAGATGTAGCTGGAGGCAGATGCGGGTTAGGCTTTAGGCAACCACAGTCTAGTGCCTAGTGATTTATAGATCATCGCTTGTAACAGAAAACAAGAGTTCTTGTTTGTATAGGTTATTCTTACTACTAATCATGCTTCGACTCTTTGATCCTCTTTTCAGGTTACCAATGAGAAATTACAAGGATATTTCAGCATTTCAAATTGAAGAGTCTCTAGCAAGTCACAGCTTCCAAGAACCTTCATCCCCAAGAATGGTCAAGTCACCATCTCTTCAAAGAACTTCTGCCCTCCATACATTCCGAGCTTCTGATGCTACATTCAATTCACTCGAATCTCCACGCAATATGAGTCCTCCACCGGAGCAGATGGTTGAAAATGGTGCTACCTTAGATGTAACAACTAAGGAGCCATCCATGAAAAGACAGGATAGCTTTGAAATGAAACTTCCGGATCTACCTAAGATTGATGTTCATCCTGGAAATCGTTTAAAACCCAGTTCTGATCCAGAATCACCTGTCTCTCCGCTATTGACATCGGATCCGGATAATGAGCGTTCTCATTCACAGACCTTCAGTCGGCCAAATAGTGTGTCCTATGATGCGCCTTCAAAAACTGAAGAAACGAAGGGCACACAAGAACATCAAGAGCCACCATCATTCTGCAGGCTTGTTGAGCTTAGCCTTGCTGAGTGGTTTTGTGCTGTTTTAGGAAGCACGGGCGCTGCTTTATTTGGTTCTTTTAATCCTCTTCTTGCTTATGTCATTGCACTTGTTGTAACGGCATACTACAGAATCGACGATAAACATCATTTAGAAAATGAAGTGAACAAGTGGTGCCTAATCATTACCTGCATGGGAATTGTGACAGTAGTTGCAAACTTTTTGCAGCACTTTTATTTTGGAATTATGGGAGAGAAAATGACAGAACGTGTTCGGAGGATGATGTTTTCTGGTAATGCTTATATTGCATGTTTTATCTTTAAACTGTGCTATTGTTGGGTATTTGTTGCTCTAACCATCCCCTTCCCCCACCTATAACAGCAATGCTTCGAAATGAAGTTGGGTGGTTTGATGACGAGGAAAATAGTGCAGATAACTTGTCTATGCGTTTAGCTAATGATGCTACATTTGTCCGTGCTGCTTTTAGCAATCGACTTTCTATATTCATTCAGGACAGTGCGGCTGTGGTCGTTGCTGTTCTTATTGGGATGATTCTTCAGTGGCGGTTGGCACTTGTAGCATTAGCCACTCTTCCTGTTCTTATAATTTCTGCAGTAGCCCAGGTTTGTTTCAATTCCCTAAGGCATGTCATTGCATATTTTGTGTTCCACTGAAGAGCATCCCAATATGTGCGCGAGTGCGTGTAATGAACTGCTACATGTATAAATTAAGAGTTAATACCCGGTTTAGTCCCTTGACTATGCACTATTTAAGTTTTGTGCTCGGTTTGCTTTTGGATTCAATTTGGTCATCGACAATGTAATTTAGGCTCAAATTAATCCCGGTTTGTCATGCATATCGCTCTCTAATTAAGAAGAGTATTTATGTATGCTGAAAGTTGTTTCCTAATTACATCGTTGAGACTTGAGAGAAAAATCATTTCTGAAATTTAGTATAAGTTTTTTGAACAGACAGAAGTACACTTCTTATTATGAACCAAGCATGCGTTAAGACCAAATTTGATCCAAATTTCATAGTCAAGGACCAAATTAAATCCAAATAAAAGTCAATAACCAAATTAAGTAACAATGAACATTACAGATTATATCTGGCATTAGCTTTAACTATTATTGCATTAAGTATTTTATATGTATCCACATTCTTCAATATCCCATGTGAAGAGAAGACATCTGGGAACCACTTTGATGATTTGGAGAATATTTCCTGCATATCTAGTTCTTTGATATGCTAATGTGGCTGTTTTTAATGAAATGCTGACTGCAATCAACTTGAACTCACAGAAACTGTGGCTTGCCGGATTCTCCAAAGGAATTCAGGATATGCACAGGAAGGCGTCTCTAGTACTTGAGGATGCTGTCAGAAACATCTATACAGTTGTAGCATTTTGTGCTGGAAATGAGGTCATGGAGCTCTACAGATTACAGCTTCAGAAGATATTCAAGAAGAGTTTCCTCCATGGAATGGCCATTGGTTTTGGTTTTGGATTTTCACAATTTCTCCTTTTTGGTTGCAATGCACTTCTCCTTTGGTACGTAGGTCTTTCTGTGAAAAGAGGTCACGTCAGTCTGCCCACTGCTCTTAAAGAATACATGGTTTTTTCTTTTGCAACATTTGCACTTGTAGAGCCTTTTGGTTTGGCTCCCTATATCCTTAAAAGAAGAAAATCCTTAGTTTCGGTTTTTGAGATAATTGACCGGGTCCCTCGGATTGAACCGGATGATGACTCAGCTCTCAAACCTCCTAATGTTTATGGAAGCATAGAGTTAAAAAGCATTGACTTCTCTTATCCTACCAGACCAGAAATCTTAGTATTGAGCAATTTCAGTCTAAAAGTCAATGGGGGTCAAACCGTTGCAGTTGTTGGCGTCTCGGGTTCCGGAAAGAGCACCATAATATCTCTTCTACAAAGATTCTATGATCCAGTTGCTGGTCAGGTTTTGCTAGATGGCAGAGATTTGAAATCGTACAACCTAAGATGGTTAAGGAATCACTTAGGTCTTGTACAACAGGAGCCTATTGTGTTCTCCACCACAATAAGGGAAAATATAATATATGCACGGCACAACGCAAGTGAAGCCGAAGTGAAAGAGGCTGCCAGGATAGCAAATGCTCATCATTTCATCAGCAGTTTGCCACACGGGTACGATACCCATGTTGGGATGCGGGGTGTGGATCTTACCCCGGGGCAGAAGCAGAGGATCGCGATCGCGCGTGTCATTTTGAAAAATGCACCCATTTTGTTGTTGGACGAGGCAAGCTCGTCAATAGAGTCCGAGTCAAGTCGGGTGGTTCAGGAGGCTCTTGATACTCTAATAATGGGAAACAAGACGACCATACTTATCGCTCACCGGGCGGCGATGATGAGACATGTTGACAATGTCGTAGTCCTCAATGGAGGGCGGATCGTTGAAGAAGGGACCCATGACTCGCTAATGGCTAAAAATGGTTTGTATGTCCGCTTAATGCAACCTCACTTTGGTAAAGGGCTGCGCCATCAACATAGACTCATATAAACCACAGGATTGTAAGTAAGTGGATGCTATAGTGAGTCTCAAAAGCTTTAAGCCTTAATTTGGCATGAGAAAACTGCAGAAGAAATGCAAAAGAGGGAATAGAGTATTTATCTTCTATGGTGACAAGGAATTGTGGAGGGAAATATGGCCGGTCCTACTATCTTTTCATTTCTTCTCCCTTGTGGAGAGAAATAGTAGCCAAATGAATAATCGCCCCATTTCTTCTCCCTTCCTCTAAAACGAAACATGTCACAAAATTTACCACATCACCCATTCCTGTCTTCTGTATTTCTTCCCTAAACGAAACAAAGGCTAAATGGTCTCTTCGGAATGGGTGTATATCGAAAAACAACAAAGCTCTCTAGCCCCAGCTGCCAGAGTCCTGAAATGGTGATTTGAAAGGTGTGCAAAATGTGGTTGAGAAAAGGCTTTTGTAGTTAGTTTGTGCTCAGTTAAAGTAGAACTAAAGGATTAGGGGTGTATGATTCTTTTGGAGACGGGACGAGTCGAGTCTGCATAGTAGGATAAATTCCATCCTTGTCTCTTTAATGGGTATGTTTATTGGTTGGTTACAGAACGGATCCAGTTTCTCTTTTGTGCCCTTTTCATCTTCAGGTGTGTTTTTATTTGTGTGATGTTTGTAGTCAGTTTTGGTTTTGCAATTTTTCTTACACGGGAGGGAGTACAAAGCTGGACATAGTAGAAGTAGAAAGTAATTAAATGTAATCCTTTTATTTTAAATAGTAATGTGGTTTGACCTAATTTGCTTAATTTTATTGTGAAATATATTTTTAATTGTCGCATTGTTATAATGTTTTTAAATGTATTGATGTTTTTTTGGTCTAGTCTGAAATGCTCTAAACTAATCTGGTAGATGTATAATTTGTTAAACTGTGGTTTGATATGAAAAGTTTGGTTTGAGATAGAAATCGATTCAATTAAAAACATCCTTAGTGCAAGACTGCAAGGTAGAGAGGCTTTATATAACTATATTCACAATTCCATTTGAGATACATTTTTCACCCCATGTGTGACCTTTCGGGTGGACTCGGGTCAGTTGGGTCCCAAATACTATATGAATAGGATTAAGTCTCAAACTGCCATATTCTGGGCTTGGGCCGGTTCCGGGTAGGCGGGTACCAAGGCAGTCCTGATCCTAGATTCATTATATTTATTTAACCCATTTGAATCTAAAAACAAATTGACTGGTTTGGGACTGGAACTGTCTAATTTGGTCACATATATTGGAATCCGGGACTGGACTATCCGACTATCTAGTACTTTCAGGTACTCGGTCCTTCACTGGGATTGGTTTTTTTTATACCCAATCGGTATGGGAGGATTTCAAAATATGATACATCATTCGTTCTTTAATTAAGCGAAACGGTTAGGGCCTGTTCACTAACATAAATATTTTCAAGCTTTCTGTTTCTATTTTTTTGTTCTCCAATTTTTTGTTTTCATTTTCAAGTTTCTCTATCTCCAATTTTTTGTTTTCATTTTTTAGTTATCGAGTTTCAAATCTGAAAACATGTTCACATTTTTTTCACCTGGTTCTCTGACCGACCAAAAGATTGAAAGTGCGATCTTAGTCCCGAACCAAACCTAGTACAACCCAAGTAGGGTACTGGGTCCCACATATAGGAAAATCACGACCGAAACCGGCTGGTCCCGACGGTTTTCCTATTAGTTTGATGAATTCTTTTCCCATTTTCCTATTAGTTGACAACTCAATGGCTCTTTCAATACTCTTCGCTTGAAAAAATGAGTTTTTTTCGAATTAATGTTAATTAATTAATTAATTACGGAAATAATGCTGGAAAAAAAGTATTTACCAAAATACTGTTGGCCCTTAACCACGGTTAGGGGTAAGTCGCCCAACCGTTGGGCGACTTACCCCTGAAATATGGATGAAGGCGAGCAGCTACTGCCAGCCACGCACGATCGTGCCTACAAGGGTACGCACGATCGTGCCTATGTCCGAAAACAGCATTTCATCAGGTTTTTCGCCCCGGTTCAACCCAGACTCATCTGTTTGCTATAAATAAGGTCTCCCTTCTCCTGTTGAAGTGTTACGAACTAGATACAACACATTATAAAACATACAACACACGTCTTCACAATCACCTACTCTCAACAACATAAAAAAACACCTTATAAACACCCGTAAAAAACCTTCAAATCATAACCGGAATAACACAGTACAATCATCATATATGCCATAACAAGTAATCATCTAATATTCATACTCGAACAAATCAATACAACATACAATACTTAACAAGACAAAATACATCAAAACTTGTAAATTGTTCGTACAACATCTACTGCATAAGAAAAACTACAATAGAAAAGACAAACTACAAGTTCCCATCATCAGCTTCGTCATGGAGATGTTGCTGCTCATGTCTACGCCTACGGCGTTGTCGTGGTTGAAGAACCACTCTCTCATGTTGCGTCTGGGATGATGAAGCCGCGGCTGCACTAGACGTGGAAGCCATCTCCTGAGATGGGGGCATGTGTATAAGATGTCCGTAGTCTACTCGTCCCAAGACATCTGAGCACAACGAGGCAATGCCTGTCAGAGCCTGTCCATACATGTCTACATCAGGAATATCAGTCACAGTGGCAGTAGCCCGCTGATGTATGCGCTGCAAAGCTCGTGTCTGATAATGATGAGTAGGGAGTCTGAACGAAGGAGACACAAATAACCGAGTGATGCTGTAGTACCATCCCATGTAGTCTCCTGAAACAGATGGCACATATGTGGGTGTCCCAACCACAGCTAGCTCAGCTCTCCTTTCCCACATAGTCACGTATCGGACATGTCTGAGTGCCCAATCCTCTGTATGCTTCCCACGCCTATCCAGCTTATGCAGCTCTACATAAGTGTCGATAGGACGTGGAACGACCTGCTCAAACCCAAACTGTCGCATGACTCTATCAGGCAAATGAAGCTCAACAATGTCAAAACATATCAACGGGACACGTGCTCGCCAGATGTGAGTATGCTCTCGTCCAGCTGGGGGCAACTCTGCTAACATATCAGGTCTAAACGGCATCCTTGTGATCTGTTTCATAAACATACAAAATTAGTATTTATTCTACACCTATTCTAGTTAATGTTATACTACATACACAATACCTGGTCCTTAGACATCCGATCCAATGCATCCCTGTAGACACCGAGCCCAGTAGCGGATGACATGCGAGATAGACTAGCATATAGCCACCTAACCATTCATGTAACAATATCAATAATATGGATATTATTAATGCATTTACATTCAACAAATACTCACATAAATACAAACGAATGTTGGATTAGAATGTTGGAGCGCTGTCATGAAACGGGGCAATTCGAAATATGACTTTTCCCAACCGCCAAATATTAGAATGTTGGAGCGCTGTCATGAAACGGGGCAATTCGAAATATGACTTTTCCCAACCGCCAAATATTTCTGCTATGGCCTTTTGCTTTCCCATCCATGTTCTCCGGTAAGATACCGTATACCCATATTTTTCCTTCAACATCTCGATGATAGTATGCACTTTAAGAGAAGGATCAGTGCGAATAATGTCAAGCACATCTTTACAGATGAATTCTGATGTCAAGGCCACGTGATCTGTAGTGTCGATGTTGCCTACACATGAAGCAGAATGAGGTCCAGGATCACGCACAATTGTGAAGGTGTCAAGGTTGCCTTTGTTCTTTGTGGCGCGTATTCTCCAGGGGCAATCACATTCTTTCTTCCTTTTGCATTGTGCCACCCATTTGTGTTTATCGGACTCTATCACCCGATAGAATTGGTTCCGTTTGATAGAATACAAGCTCACCATATTGATGACTTGTTCTTTGTTGTCAAACTGTTGACCGACCTCAAACTCACCATCGGGGGTAAACCTTTTCTCACCTGATCCACTCATCCACGCATCAGTAAAGCCTTCAGGGAGATCATACATTCTAGTGAAGTGGCTAGACGGGGCAGTTGATGTCACAGTATCACCATCATCTTCATCAGATTCTGTCATGTCGTCACCATTGATGTTCTCGTCTGCATCATCATCACTTTCCTGCCCATCCACAAATGATGCACTGTTGTGCAAATACCTACCATCCTCCTGTATAACCATGTCTAGTACAGGAGCCTTTGACGACTTCCCTGCATTCACCCCTGCATTGACATCATGCCTAGATACAACATCATTTGATGTTGATTGAGTAGCATAAGCGTCAAAGCATTCCTCAATGTAGATCTCAAGCGTCGACATATCCTCCATCTGAATTATGCCCCACATATTTGTTATAGCTAGCTCATCAATGAGGGGCATAAGCATGTACTTTCCCCCGTTCATGGGAAATTTCATTTTCAACCGCAAAGAACGGCCGGGATGAATCATTGTAGCTGCATGTATTTTTTGAAGGATCTCGAGCATGCAAGCGCCACGAGAAACCATGACAAAGCTGGTTCTGCCACCTTCATGGCATATTTGCCCATCATTCTCATTATAGTTCCCTCCCCAATGACACACGAGTGGGAAGCTTGAGAAATCCATATTCTAATAACAATTCATTGTCCAACATTCATGAGTAGGCATCAATATACACACTTTATACACATTCAAATTTTCGATAGAAAATGCTTCCAAAATTGTAATATATCCTAAAATCCAAATTCACAAACAATTCACATTTCAATAACAATCTATCCAAATTTTGATATCTACATTCAATGTCTACCTTTCAATACCCAAATTTAGCTACATTCAAGTCTACCCAAATGCCCAAATGTCAAAATACACATTAGATTTTACAATCAATGTAAAATCAAATTTCAACATTTCATACATATCCACATTTCACAACAACTCAATTCACAATCAATTCATAATCCAAAAATTCAAAAATTTTAACATTCAAAACCCTAAGTTCAAAAAGAGATGAAATGGATTTGGATTTACCTAGAAGAAAGAAGATGAGTGTTGAAGAGGATGGAGATGAAGGATTCTTGGGAAGAAGGAGGAGACCCCGCCGGAGCTCGAGAATCACCGGTCGTCGCTCGCTGCTGCTGGGATCGTCGGTCGCTGCTGCTGGGATCGTCGGTCGCTGCTGCTGGGATCGTCGGTCGCTGCTGCTCTTTCAAATTGGGGAGGAAGTGTTCTGTCTCGCTGGACCGACCCCGTTTTTACTTAAAGGGAAAGTCGCCCAACGGTTGGGCGACTTATAAGTCGCAATACCGTTTGGCGACTTATAAGTCGCCCAACCGTTGGGCGACTTACCCCGACCATGGTTAACCCAACAGTATTTTGGTAAATACTTTTAACCCAACCATATTTTCGTAATTAATTAATTAATTAACAATAATACGGAAAAAAACTCTTAAAAAATGATTTCGAAAATATCGAGACTGAACCGTCGGGTGCCAGATCATTTACAGGACTGGCCCGGGACCGCCCGGTTGTCGATCGGACCAAACACAGACCGTCAGATCGTTTGCCAGACAGGATGGGGACTCTCAAGTCATTGATCATACAGGACGGGGACCACCAGGTACACTACAAGAAATATTGCTTTTAATGACGGTAGAACCCGTGAGCAAAGATCAAAATACAGTCATTAAATATTTTTAATGACGGGAATTTTCCCGTCACGACCCGTCATTATAGCTTCCGTAGTTAAAGGTTTTTAATGAGAGGATGAGAATCCCATCATTAGAAGCATATAGTGAGAGAAAAATTACTCTCATTAAAAAGTTAACTTCATGGTGAAATACATTTTCTGATCCAGCCATTTTCATATTTTTAATTCCAATTATTTTGTCAAACAAAAAACTTATTTGGAATC